CCCTCTCTCTGCCACCCCTCTCTGCCACCCCTCTCTGCCACCCCCTCCCTGCCACCCCTCTCTGCCACCCCTCTCTGCCACCCCCTCTCTGCCACCCCTCCCTGCCACCTCTCTCTGCCACCCTCCCTGTCAGCCTTCCTGCCACTCCTGTCACGCAGGGGTCACTGTGGCGGGGTCAGTCATGGGTCACAGTGGCATATGGTGTGTGTGTGTGTGTGTGTGTGTGTGTGCATGTGTGTGCATGTGTGTGTGTGTATATACATGAATATGAGTGTGCCTGTACAGCAAGTGCGTTCGCGCATGCGCTACACAGGAGACGCGCATCCATTGGCCGTGTTGAATCTGGATCTTCATCCTGATTGGCTGGCGGCCCAGCATCGAATCTTCTTTCAACCACAAGAAACCCACACCAAGCATTGTTTACCTTATATGGCAGCTGCGCGCGCACCCCGCCGCCCCCATCAAACCCCATCATTTTATAATCTCTTCCATATGAGGTGTGAATGTTGGCACTATGGGGCTCTATAACTTCCTCAGGCACTCAGGAGGCACTAAGGTAACCTGATTATTATTATTATACAATGTGTCAGCAACATGCGCTATGTTTACAACATAAACAGAATACCAAATGCGAAGAATCAGACAATGAAGAGGCACAGTGAGGTGGTTATGGGCGCTGGGGGGAAGTTAGGGGCGCTGGGATGCGTTTAGGGAGCTGGGAGGAAGCCACATGCGCCGAGAGGAGGTTATGGGTGCTGGAAGAATTTTATAGGCCTCGGGACAAAGGGATTGGCGCTGGGAGGAGGAAGTTAGAGGCGCCGGGAGGAAGTTAGGGACTCTGGGAGGACGTTATTGTCGCTGGGAGGAAGTTATAGGGGGTGGGAGGAAATTATGGGCGTTGGGAGAAAGTTACTTGCGCTGAGAGGACGTTAAACGCGCTGTTCGGAAGTTATGGGGGTTTAGATTTTGTTATTGGCGCCGGGAGGAAGTTATGAGCGCTGGGAGCCCGTTATTGGCACTGGAAGAAATTTATGGGCACTAGGAAGACGTTATGGGCGCTAGGAGGAAGTTAGAAGCGCTGGGAGGAAACTAGTTTCTGGTTAGGACGTGAGGGGCGCTGGCAGGGAGTGAGTGAGAGACGCTGAGAAGACGTTAAGGCTGCTGGGAGAAAGTTTGGGGCGCTGGGATTGAGTAAGGGCACTGGGAGGAGAATAGAGGCTCTTGGAGGAAGCTAGGGGCGCTGGGAGGTCGTGAGTGAGGGGTGTTGGAGGGTACAAGATGACTTGGCACCTACATGATTGCTATATGCTGCGCTGGGAGATGGTCCCACCTGGTGGCCCACCGGCCGCCAGGCAACAACTGCTCACCTCTCATCGAACAGCTGGGTCCTGCAGCAACAGCTCAATGTGTTCTTAAGTGTTCTCAAAATGTTCTGCAATGTGGTTAAGGTAGAACAAGGAAGACGTGAGTCAGAGGTGCGGTGACAGAGTATGGGACGACCCATTAACATGTCATGTTGTTAATGACCTGTGAGAGGGGAGACTAGATGATGCCAGCCAGGGGGGGCAAACCGAGAATGGGTTCGAGCAAGGGGGTCACTGTGCCAGGAGGCTGGGAAAAAGGGGGAGAGGAATTTTGGGTTATAGGCTTATAGAAGCCAAGCACCACCCCCACATCTCCCCGGGAGAGCGCGCGGGCACGCAGAAGCCATCATCATGCTCCTTAGTTGGTGGTAGGCCTAAGTGTCTAGGAGAGTGAAACGGACGATTAACCAGGAGGTCCATTGTGTGTGTGGGGGGGGAGGGGGGAGGTCTTACCTGGAGGCCGAGATGAGGCCAGAGTGGGGGGGGTAGGGGGGAGGTCTTACCTGGAGGCCGAGATGAGGCCAGAGTGGGGGGGGGGTAGAGGGGGGAGGTCTTACCTGGAGGCCGAGATGAGGCCAGAGTGGGGGGGGGGGGGGCTTTTGGCAAGGACAGGAACAGTGTGGGAGGCAGAAGCCATAAAAGTGGGGAGCAAACCTCCGATCTCTGGGATTGGATAGTTCGTCAGCTGTAATTGTGAGTACTTGTAGTCCCTATTCAGACACCATTGACGTATTGAGACCAAAACGTCGTTATCCGTTCACTTTCTGGTGTGTGATTTGGTCAACCATTGACATTATATTTATTAGACTTTATTAGGATCTTCAGCCCCTCCTCCGAATAGACAGTACGTTTTAATAATAAATGTAATAAGTACAATCCTGACTACCGGCTTAGTACATAAATACACTTAATCACCAGAATCGCACCAAAAAATATTGTGAATATTAGAGTTTACCTGAAAATCTGTATAGAAAACCACGACCTAACCTAAGCGTTTTAGTGTAGGAGGACAGGCATTTTATTGTTTCTTAATAACAATTAGTACTTAACCTATAGCTATATTGATATTACAGTTTTATAAAACTAATAAAACAAAACTAAAATCTTTCAATAAATTATAAAGTAACTCAGAATATTTTCAAATTTTGTATAAAATCTCTAGTGTTTAATAAAACTGAAAAAGAAATCCTTTATATTTAAAATTTATGTGTACAGAAGTGAACATGAAAATTTCATCCTAAAATTTTGAGTGTCTTGACAGAAAACGAGGAAAATAAATGGGGAGGTAAATGTAACGGCACAATTAAGTGTATTTTTGTACTATGCAGACAGTAAGGAATGTATTTATATTTAATATTAGAACGTACTGTCTAATCGCGGGATGCGTTGACATTTTTATAAAAGGCCTGTTTTTAACCTGTTAAAAAAATAATGTTAAGGAACAAAGAAGATCTTTAAGTAGTTATTGTTTTCCTGTCTGGTTCACTTAGTGGCTAGTCCGCTTGTGCTATGCTATCCCCTTTCTTTCATTACCCGACTTAATTGTAAAATCGCCCTCTCCGATTCTTAGTATCATTGATGTGGGGAACATGTGCATGAGGGCCCAAGGGCCAGGCGAGACTTCCCCTCTCCCAGGACTTCCCTGGAAGAGCTGGGACAACCCGTTCTCGCACTTGCTTTCAGTCAATATTGGCTTATATAATAAGTGCATATGTGACATACTAATTGATTGTGAATATTTTAGTTTACCTTGAAAATCTTCATAGAAAACACCGACCTCACCTAACCTTCTTAGTATGTTAAGCAGAAGGTTAGGTGAGGTCGGTGTTTTCTATGAAGCTTTTCAAGGTAAACTAAAATATTTACAATAAATTATTATGTCACATATGCACTTATTAAATAAGCCAATATTGACTATAAGCAAGTGCGAGAACGGGTTGCCTGGGCACACGGAACTGCTATTGAAGCCAGAACATCTGCCGGCTCACTGCACACACCATTATATTAAGAACTAAATCCTCAAGTATGATAACAGTTTCCTAAATGAAAAAAGGATGGAGTGAGAGGAGTTAGAGTAGAGGGAGTGTATGAGGCTCCAGGGCACGAGGGGAAGCATTATCAATACAGCTGAACCGTTATTAAAATGTCAAAAGGAGGGTCATTCAGTAATTAATGAGGCGTTTACACACTGCTATAGTGATGAGGGTCAAAGAGTCGACCCTCTCCGCTGTTCTGGCGCGCGTGCCTGCTGACCTGCTTCTTGCCCTCGACAGCCACCACCACCACCACCACCAGCAGCACTACCACCACCACCACCACCACCACCACCACCAGCAGCAGCAGCAGGACAATGTTACTGTTCGAGCTGCTGAAGCACACAGACTTAATCGTCATAAATAATTATCAATATAATGTATTTATTTTTCTCCGAGTTCAATCCCCTCATCATATAATAGTCTCCCTGTGCGCCACAAAGGTGGGGAGTGGTGCACTTGTTGTGGAGACAGAGCCCACACAAAAGAGGAGAGGGAGTGTGGTTACCTACAACCCTCTCCCTCTCTCACATCTTCTTGGACACCACAAGTTGCCATAAGTATTCCCCTCAACATGCCACAAATTTCCAAACACAACAGCCTGGTAATTTTAATATACTGGTCTGACTGTCGTGGGATGAGTGGTGAGCGCCCATGACACACTATGCTCCGTCACAGGCTCGGCGTTCGATGCCAAGCAAGCCTGCAACACTCACCTTAATAGTGGTTACTTTTAATATATTATTCCAATTTAAGTCCTACGATTCACATTTTACATTTTCTGTTAATTACCTATTGCCAATTTCGAGAATTTTTCTAGTACCAGAGCCCGGCCTGTGACCAGCATTTTCTGCTCACTGTTTGGTGTTGTGTTGGTAGTCCGAAGGCCCACATAACCATCACAGCCAGGCTGGTCCGGTAATCCCAACAGAAACATATCCAGTCATCTCCTGAAAAATTCCATTGCTGTTCCCGTAACATTTAAATATTTGTTGATAGGAGACTGAAGAGTGGTGGGGCTGTGGTACATCTGACACTTCCTGTCATATCTCTCTCTCAGTGTGTTGTAATGTTATTGTGCAGACCTGGAACCTGACCTTCTAGTACTGCCATGTGTGTTTAAGGATATATCTTTCTCGTCTTCGTTCCATGGGGAACAGTTTGAGTTGGATTAAGTAAGTAATTATTATCAAAAGAAGGCACCAAGCCGGGAGGCTATGTAGCTCCAGTGAGCCGGTCCAGTAGTTGGCCAGCTTCATGTTTTCTCTGTAAACAGTAAAGAATCTCTTTAGATTTTCCAGCTCTGCAATCCCGCCTGCCTGGAAATGGGACACGAGGACTGAACAATATTCCTAACCAGGTAGTGCCAGAGGTCTGGAGAGTACCATCATTGGTGTGGCAACCAAAGATGTCATAGCAATGATGCCATATAGCCCCAACTAACAGAAGTTGAAGTTCTCCACAGGTCAGCAGAAGCGGCGACGGAGTTGCTGACCCCTGACTCAGGTCACCTGGATTAGATGCGTGTACCTGTTAATGTCCCATGACTGCCCTCAGGTGCCATGATGCCCCTACTGACTGCTCCCTATTCTGTGTCTCCCAGTATGCTATGGGAAGAACTTTGGGCCCAAAGGTTACGGCTTTGGCACCGGTGCTGGCACCCTCACCTGCGGCTACGACGAAGTGTAAGTGGGTGCCGCGGGCTCACCCCCCCCCCGGTGCCGGCGGGTTGTGCCCACAGCTGCTGGTGTGGCACTTGTGCTTGTACTGGTGGCACCACTGGTGTTAGTGCCAGTAACAGCACTCACGTTGACACAGTTGGCAGCACTGACGTTAGTACTGGTGACAGTGCTGATCTTAGTACTGGCACTGGACCTGATGCTTGTACTGGTACTAGTGCCTACAGGCACTGCTGATGCTGCTGGAGTGTGAGAAACACTTGTCACACTGGTAGCGAGTGGCTGGGTGGTGTAACTACCTGTGGGTGCTACGCTAACTACCTGTGGGTGCTGCGCTAACTAGTTGCTCACAGAAGGGCTTTTGTCGGCGCTAACTACCCACGGGTTAAGCGATAACTACCAGCCCACAGAATGGCCTGGTCCAGTGAACCGCCTCAACTCGGCTACACATTTTTAACACATCTAAAATATCTTTTTTTATAATTTTGATGTAGTTTTCCTGTCGATATTCTAAAAAAAAAAGCATTAATTACATATTATTTGTTTATTAATACGCTATAACCCGCTGTTCAGCGCAATGTTACAACGCTATAAACTTATTAAAAAAATAGATTATACACGCGCTTATTTTAAAATACCATTTAAGAAACTGATGGCTGCTTTCCTAACTAAAAAAAATACCATATTTTGTTCCACATTACAGAGAAACTCCGCCGGAGACTTAACCTATTGACCCGAGTTTGTTGTGTCCTCAGTGAGGTGTTGGTGGTGAGGGAGTAGAGGGCTCTGAGTGTGTGGGGCTGATGTAGCTTGGCTTCTTCTTCTTCTTCCTCAGTCTGCTACGGCAAGAAGTTCGGACCTAAGGGCTACGGATTTGGCCACGGAGGAGGGACTTTGCAATGCGATCCGGACTCGTAGGTTGCATGCAGTGTCCTTGCCACTTGTTGCTTGTTGGTGCCAGACACCAGCATGTATCCTTCCTTGTTGGTGACAGACACCAGCATGTATCCTTCCTTGTTGGTGCCAGACACCAGCATGTATCCTTCCTTGTTGGTGACAGACACCAGCATGTATCCTTCCTTGTTGGTGCCAGACACCAGCATGTATCCTTCCTTGTTGGTGCCAGACACCAGCATGTATCCTTCCTTGTTGGTGCCAGACACCAGCCATGTATCCTTCCTTGTTGGTGCCAGACACCAGCATGTATCCTTCCTTGTTGGTGCCAGACACCAGCATGTATCCTTCCTTGTTGGTGCTAGACACCAGCATGTATCCTTCCTTGTTGGTGCCAGACACCAGCATGTATCCTTCCTTGTTGGTGCCAGACTCCAGCCATGTATCCTTCCTTGTTGGTGCCAGACACCAGCATGTATCCTTCCTTGTTGGTGCCAGACTCCAGCCATGTATAATTCCTTGTTGGTGCCAGACACCAGCATGTAACCTTCCTTGTTGGTGCCAGAGACCAGCATGTATCCTTGTCACCTGTTGCTTGTCACAGCTATTATAATAACCATTGCAGAATTGATGACAGTAGAGTAGTTGCCGAGTAGTACTAAACAGGCAGCACTATAGTGTTGGGCACAATGAAGCCATTGCCAGCTGCAACACTTGCCAACACCCGCTAGCAGCAACACCTGTACCCTGCCAACACTCGCCAGCTGCAACACCTACACCCTGCCAACACCTGCACCCTGCCAACACCCTAACCCATAGATACCCACCGTGTGGTAATTACCTTACTAACCCGGACCAGAATTCATTAAACATTTACACAACCTCTTACGACACCTGTACATCTTTCCTCAGCCATGACATGGGATGTTTACATTTATTAAATAGTTTGAGGTCTCCAAAGTACTATCAGGTTGTTCATAACAATAATAACCTTGGATTGAAAAGTCCCAAAGTTCATAAACTGCTTAATAAATGTAAATAATGTCGCCCTGATCAAGGAGAGATGCACAGGTTTCGTATGCTGTTGATGAATGCTGATCACGCATTCCGTGTCATCTCTAACGGTGCCACGGTGACCTGTGTGCTGGCACTGGTGCCTCGCCTGCTGTGCTAAGCATGTTCGATATCCTTATATTGTCGTCTTGCCCTGTGTTGGCCATCATCCTCCTCCACACTGCTGTCAGCAGGTGGCACCCTGCAAGTCCACTGTCTCAATGATAGCACTGTCCTCATCATGGTGCTAAATGCTCACGGCAGCCTTGTGCGTCAGTGGTAATGCTTTTCTTCCTTGGCAACCTTGTTTTCTTTGCAATGCTGCTTCCTTGACAACGCTGTTTCCTTGGGACTCATTTTCACAGGAAAGCCTGTCAATGGTTACCATATATAGCTGCGGCAACACTTGACAACCTTTTGTTGCTATAGTAAATATTGATAAACACAATAACTCCTGATTGATTGTCATATCAGTCCTAAGCTGTTATGGCAACACTCGAGTGTCATAGTGATCAGATACTGACGAAGAGGATTGTCTGTCAAATTATAAATATAAATAGTGAATTAAGTTAAAATCCAACCATTAAATAAAGAAGTCAAATCAAGAGTTTCGTGAAGTCTAAAAAACAACAACTGTAAATCAAGACTTTGGTAACCATTTGTGCCCCTAACATGCCTATTTGTCCTTAACTGCATGATAATGTTAATTTATTATTTTCAATTATAAAGCAAATTTTTATTACTTTTAGTAAATACAGTTAATTAACTAGCCAGTACCGCAAATTTGCATATGCTTACACAGCTTTAAATGTATGCAGCAGTAGAGGAATATAAGTTGCGGGCGAGGATGCCAGAGTGAAGCCTAATAAGGTAAGTTTATACCCAGAGACGTAACTTGTTGTGGTAAGTTATATTTTGAGATGACTCTCATTGTGCACTTGCTCTCCTCTCGTCTCTAGCACCTCACTCTCATACACTCCACACACAAGCACTCCTCCCAATACAACCTCCCATATATATATATATATATACAACCAACTCCCCCTTACCTCCCACACACACAACCTCTCCCTCCTTCATAGGGAGGGAGAGGGTCATACACTTTGTATTTGAAAGAGTAGAGCTCAGCCCCCACAAGCACATCTAGGTGAACACACAGCCTCCCCCACCAACAAACACGCACAGCCCCGTCCTCCTAAAGTGAAAGTACTTATTGGTACTTACCACCAACGTTACTGTACGTAGTGATGGACCACCAGAAAGTTGACTTTTGTATTATTGTAGTTAGGCAAACAGGATTTTTTTTTAACCGCAACATAAATCCTAACCTCTACTAGCCCTCTTAGTACCAATATAGAACATATATGTGCTATACTAGGCCTAGGAATATTTGAGTCCTGTTCTTAGCTTTTGTTTCCCAGACTAAAAAAAATTATTTGTACAAAAAGAAGTTTACTGGTGGTCCATCGCTACATACTTGCGACCAAATAATTACACAGAGTACTATCATTTCATGGGGACGGGGGTTGCCACACACACACACAACACTGCCATACACACAACACTGCCATACACACCCAGGGGGACATCGCCTACACCCTCCAGCAGGACACCACCATTAACCCATTCTCGTGACGTGTTCCTCAGCGCTCCTCTGGTGCGGCCCCACGGCAACCCCGACGCCATCCTGCCCGTGGTGGAGGGCGAGACGCCGTGTCCTCGCTGTGGCGGCAGGGTCTTCAGCGCCGAGATGATGATGGCTAAGAACAAGGTGGGTTGTGTGCTGGCGTCGAGCCCTCACCCTTGAGTTGTGTTGCACGGCGTCGAGCCCTTATCTTTGAGCTGTGTTGCACGGCGTCGACCCCTCACCCTTGAGTGGAGATGTACTCCAAACCCGCATATGCTTTATACTATTACAAAAAAAAACTTCTTCACACCATAAGATATACAGGTGTCACGCCTGATTCACTCTCAACCTACATTTTAATAACATTTTAATAACATATATAATAACTAAGCTTGTTGGTTTCTCTCCCCCCCCCCTTCAGCCATACCACAAGAAGTGCTTCAAGTGCAGAGTGTGCAAGCGGCCTCTGGACTCCATGGTCCACTGTGACGGTGCCGACGGGGACGTCTACTGCAAGCTCTGCTACGCCAAGAAGTACGGGCCTAAGGGCTACGGCTTCGCTGCTGGCGGTGGCGGCGTCCTGACCGCCGAGAACATCCCGTGAGTCCTGCACCCTCGTGTTCACGTCATGTGTGTTTCCTTTAAGGTGATCTCGGTCCACCATCAGCGTCCAGGGTGTGAAGGTGCACGATACACTGCCTTGTACTTGCCAACCACAAGACCCGTGCTCGAGCGCCCCTGGTCTTCTTACCTCACAATGTCACATTTACTCTTTAATATGTTTTGTGAAATAGTACGTATTTCCTTACATAAGTGGACAGTACTTACAAGATATCTTACAGCTTGACAAAAAGCGTAACGCATTTAAGATTAAAATAAACTGCAGACGGCCTATTGGCCCATGCAAGGCAACTTCTATTTACTTGCACACAAACTCATTCATATGTATTTGAGCTACGCCCGAAATAATCCATCTACTTTTTTTATAAGACTATTACGGCTACTAATGGTTTCGGTGACGCAGGGGCGGTGAGGCAATGCCTGGAGTCAACCCCGGGTCCGTGGTTCTCGATGTTAGCAAGATCCAGGCCGAGGAGGGCAAGGGATGCCCACGCTGTGGCGGCAAGGTCTTCATGGCTGAGGAGATTAATGCTCGTGGCAGAGTGAGTAGACCTATTGTTGTTGCTTGCGAGAGTAGGTCTCTCGTTGATGCTTGCGAGAGTAGGTCTCTCGTTGTTGCTTGCGAGAGTAGACCTCTCGTTGTTGCTTGCGAGAGTAGACCTCTCGTTGTTACTTGCGAAATCAGGTCTTCCATTGTAACATTAAAAGAATCTGTTAAACTTCAGTTACTTGCACTAACTTCCCGTTCTTCTTGCCGGCAGTCATTCCACAAGCGCTGCTACAGCTGCTCCCACTGTCACCGCCCGCTGGACTCCATGACAGGGTGTGACTCACCTGATGGAGAGGTCTACTGCAAGCTCTGTTACGCCAAGAAGTACGGCCCTAAGGGCTACGGCTTCGCTGCTGGAGGTGGCGGCGTCCTGACCGCCGAGAACATCACGTGAGTGTCCGTCTTATAGACAGAGATCTTACAATTGTTATTCTATTTTGATAATTGACAGCTTATTCCCGTTTGCAGGTAAACAGGTTGTGTGTGTATATATGTGAGTACACACACAATACGAGGACATTACATGCTTGTACCCGAGTGTTAATGTAACATGTGGTGGCAGGGACCTGCCTACACCTCATTCCGTGTTTACCAAGTACTTAGCACCTTGATTTATGTATCGCTGGCAGATGCAGAACAAAAAAATTCATAAACTCAACACCAGCACTCAAGCATCGCTACTCACACTCAAGAGGGCAGCGAATTTAAGTGAAGAAGATAATTGCGAGCTTCTTCCGGTAGGGAGGAAAACAAACACAAAACATTTCCAAACACCAACAGACTGCTGGATCTAAATGAAGCCCCAAGCAATGCAATTCTCGGATATAAAAGGAAAAAATATTTATTACTTAGATTAGTTTGGTAAACGTGATGCCTTTTTTTAATTAATTGTTGTCATACGCTTTTAGGCACATTTATTATATCATTTTTCTCTTATTTGCTTGTGTTGCTGGGAAAGTTTTCTCAGTCAAGAGTGTCACTATTTTTATCGTGACAAATATTTGTATTAAACCATGTCCTAATCTTATCCTAGCAAGGCAAATTAACTACGCCTTAATCGTCAACTTGTGAGACAATTAACCAAGTCTTAATGATCACCTTGTAAAACTGTGCGTCAAGAAAGTAGACAGAGATTACATAAATGTAGTAAAGTCGAAGTGGGGAACCGTTATTATTGGGGTGCCCCGGGGCTCTCTCCAGGAACATCTGTTGTTTGTCACATATACTGAACAATTTAGACACAGGATTAAACAACAACATTTGCAGATTTGAAGACAATACAAAAATAGTGCTTATTTTATGACACGATTTAAAACAATTATATGTACCCAGACGAAAGACTTACTTGGCTCTTCTCCAAAAAAGTATTGTCTTGTTTACAGTTATTGATGTTTTATTTTAATATATTATATGCGAACTATTTTCTGCATGTGACAATATTATATTTAACTACTGAAGCATTCAGGTTTGCAAGATTCTGTTGGTTCTCTGTTTTTCCAATGACAAATAACCCTTGAAAATGTAAACATATTTTATATAGCCACTAAACCTTTTCTAAGCATCGTTCAGGTCACGTCTCCCAAATAATCTTCCCATATATAAAACTTGGACACATTTCAATCACTAACATGCACTCATTATCGACACACATCAACAAGTAATTTGTCGATTAACTTTATTGTTCACGTTATCACCTGTAACAAGATCTACAGTTGCTGTTTAAACAGAAGCTTGGATATGTGGGTCAAGAGTGAGCTCCTCACGCAGCTGCCCTAGACCACTCTCTTTCCATTTGACACTCAAGTAAAAAATCCAATCTTTTGCATTACGTAAGAGCAAAGGAACTGCAGAAGGCCTATTGGAATTTACGCAACCGACACAGGACACTTTCTAATTAGTTCATAAATAAACTTGGCCCATTGTTGATAGATAGTGATTTGTTCCGACTTTAATATAAGCCAATTCTAATTTCTATAACTATGTCCCACTCGTTGCAGAAAGCTCCTGGTCTCTGATTATACTTTGTTAGTTTCAGGGGATTGAGAAAGTTGTTTATGTCTCTCAATGTTTACTACATGGATTTTAGTTTCTTTCTACGTGTATTGAGTAGAGATTATTAGTGATTGGTTTAGACTTTACTGTCGATTTTAAGTAGAATTTGAAAATCAATGCAACTGAAGAAACGTGTTAGATGTGTTGAGTGCGAGAGAAAGACACGTCAGTTTAATGGTAATTTCCTTCCAGCGGTGGAGACCAGTCGGCAGCGCTGGCCAAGAAGGCGGACGCGGCCCGTATGAACGTGGGCAGGATCAAGGCCGAGGAGGGCAAGGGGTGTCCCCGGTGTGGCGGCAAGGTCTTCATGGCTGAAGAGATGCACGCCCGCGGCCGCAGCTGGCACAAGGGCTGCTACAGCTGCTGCCACTGCCACCGCCCGCTGGACTCCATGGTGGGCTGCGACGCCCCCGACGGGGAGATCTACTGCAAGCTCTGCTACGCCAAGAAGTACGGGCCCAAGGGCTACGGCTTCGCGGCCGGCAGCGGCGGAGTTCTGGTTGCTGAGAACATTCCGTAAGTGTGTCGTACGCTCATCGCAATAGCCTTAAAGTTCTTTAGAGATTGAGTTGTGTAATTATGAAGCTATGTATAAAACCTTTCATAACGTGTGTGAAGCAAACGCCGTGACCGATGCCCATATTACAGGGGCGGAGTAGCCCACTTGGCTGGCATCAGTGCGGCGTCTGGAGCCATCGACACTACGTCCATCCCTGCCGCCCCTGGCGAGGGTTGCCCACGCTGTGGTGGCAAGGTCTTCAGCGCCGAGGAGAAGCTCTCTCGCAACAAGGTGCGTGCGGTGTGCACACACGCGCGCACATACACACACACGCGCGTGCACACACACACACACAACAGTGTGTGTATGTGTGGGGCCTACAGGGGCCAGTGGCTGTTTGGACAGCACGCTAGACACGTAATCCTGTGGTCCGGGGTTCGATTCCCGGCGCCGGCGAGAAACAATGGGCAGAGTTTCTTTCACCCTGATGCCCCTGTTACCTAGCAGTAAACAGGTACCTGGGAGTTAGACAGCTGTTACGGGGTGCTTCCTGGGGGTGTGTGTAGGGGGAAAAAATAGTTAGTAGTCAGTAACAGTTGATTGACATTTGAGAAGCGGGCCGAAAGAGCAGAGCTCAACCCCGTTAAGCTAAACTAGATGAATACTAGGTGAATACTAGGTGAATACACGGTTCAGTAATTCAGGAATGGAACCATATTCAAGGAACCATGCGGTTCCTTGAATATGGAACCAATATCAATATTTTTTCTATTTATTATTAAGATTTTGGGGTTATCAATTACACGGACGTAATTGATGCCCGACCACTTGAACTACTATCCATACGCCCCCCCCCCCCCCAGGTCATATTTCATCCAAAACTATCCCTTTCCCTGGTACGACCGCTTGTACAGCTATCCATCCCCCTGACATGACCTCTTATATGACTTACTCTTTCCCTGGTACAACTATCCATCCCCCCCCCCCTCACTTGAAACGACCACGTGTACGACTATTCATCCCCCTAAAACGACCACTTGTACGACTATTCATCCCCGTAACACGACCACTTGTACGACCACCCATCCCTCCGACACCACCACCATGTGTACGACAATCCCTCCCCTCCCCCCATCCTGACACGACCACACAACTTGGGCTGCCCTCCGGCACGACCACTAACACGCCTCCCCTGGTGTACAGAAGTGGCACAAACGCTGCTACAGCTGCCGCGAGTGCTTCCGGCCCCTGGACTCCATGGTGCTGTGCGACGCCCCCGACGGCGACATCTACTGCAAGCTCTGCTACGCCAAGAAGTACGGGCCCAAGGGTTACGGCTTCGCTGCCGGCGCTGGCGGCGTCCTGGTGCCAGAGAACATCTCGTGAGTTGTGGCTCCTTACACATTTTTGTATATGTATATGGAAATACTATGTTGTATATGTAGCATGAGAGAGAGAGAGAGAGAGAGAGAGAGAGAGAGAGAGAGAGAGAGAGAGAGAGAGAGAGAGAGAGAGAGAGAGAGAGAGAGAGAGAGAGAGAGAGAGAGAGAGAGAGAGAGAGAGAGAGAGGGAGAGAGAGAGAGAGAGAGAGAGAGAGAGAGAGAGAGAGATCACACAATGAAACACCTACAATGATAAGAGAAGAGCATGGGAGACTGTCTGTATCACATACCATCAACTAATGTACTTGTTGTGTGTACGTCAGCGTCGACGACGAGTCGCAAGGTGTGGGAGACCAGCAGCTGGTGACAAGCTCCGCCTTCACCGTCCTGGATGTCACTAAGATCCCCGCCAAGGAGGGTCAGGCACGCTGCCCCCGCTGCGCAGGCGCGGTATTCCAGGCAGAGTCCATGCCCTGCAGAGGCAAGGTGAGGGGGAAGGGAGCAGTTGACCCCAATCATGCCCCGTCCCACGTCTTCCCCATCTGTCCCACCCTCTTTACCCATCCCCCCAGCATGCACCTTTCCAGTAAAAATAATAAATTACATATTACTCTGACAGTTTAACGTATACCGACATGTATCGGGTCATATCCAACAAAGTATTCTTATAGAGCCGTCAGGCCTCTCACCCTGACCTCAGTATGTTGATCTGTGTGTGTGTGTGTGTGCCCATCAGGAGTGGCACAAGCGATGCTACAACTGCTGTGAGTGCCACCGACCGCTCGACTCCATGCTGTCGTGCGACGCCCCCGACGGGGAGATCTACTGCAAGCTCTGCTACGCCAAGCGCCACGGGCCCAAGGGCTACGGCTACGGCCACTGCCCGGCCCTCGTCTCCATCGGCACTGAGGACGGCGCACCCATGCCGTGAGTGGCACTCTCTGTCTGGGGGGGAGGGAGTGGCAGTGATGATGGCGATGCTTGTGATGGTTATGGTGGTTGAAGTGATGATAGTGTGGTGATGATAGTGCGGTAGGGGGCCCCTAGTGATTGGGGTAGTAGGCCTAATGATGGTGGCTGTGGTGATGATGGTATAGTAGGCTTAGTAGTATTGGTGATGGTGATTATTGTGATAATAGGATCAGAAATGGTGATAATGACAGTTTAAAGAGTGTTTAGGAGCTAGGGGCAGAGTGTGAGTACAAGTGCCCATCACCAAGGGCAGCCCTGGCCGCTGTGTTGTGGTTAATCCAGTGCCGCTGCTCTCCCTCAAGTGCCTGACGGCAGGAGCCGGGTTTACCGACCCTCCACCCAAGTGAAGTTTAGGAGCACCCGTCAGGTGTAGGTTAGTGGCTCCTCCTCTATCTCCCCCTCCTTCATGACGCTCTCTCCCCCCTTCTCCCTCCAGCACTGACATCCGACAGTTTGGGTTCGGTGCGAAGCCCACCAAGACCTGGGCACCCCCTGCAGGCTCCTCGCGCCCCACCCCGGCCGCCGGCAGCGCCCCCTGGAGGACAGGAGGAGGGAAGCCAGCCCCCAACCAGGTACATCTTATTATTCCTCCACCTGAGCCAGTGCCCATCGGCTCAGCAGTGCCACTGCCGCGAGGGTTTGATTCGGTGAGACTAACGCCTCTTTAACATCGTAGTCCAACACGCTGTATATATATATTGTGTTGATAATATTTGAATTCTGTTAACACTTTATGGAGTTGCAATATTAATATTTCTGATTATTTTCTTATTAATAAAATTAAATTTATGGCTGATTCTACTAGTATATATATATATATATATATATATATATATATATATATATATATATATATATATATATATATATATATATATATATATATATATATAATTCTCTGGTGTCTTTACTACTCTCGTATCTTGTAGTGCTAGGCTTGTACACTGTGTGGTATAGAGAACTAGTCTCTATATAGAGAGCCGTCTCTAACACCTGGCTTTTCTGTAGATGTTAGAACTAGTGCTCTTAGTCCTTTGTTCCCTGGCAAACATATATGCACACACACACACACACACACACACACACACACACACACACACACACACACACACACACACACACACACACACACACACACACACACACACAGGGAAGGGATGTGGTGGAGGCTGACTCCATACACAGTTTCAAATGTAGATATGATAGAGCCCAGTAGGCTCAGGAATCTGTACACCAGTTGATTGACAGTTCAGAGGGGGGACCAAAGAGCCAAAGTTCAACCCCCGCAGGCACAATTAGGTGAGTACAATTAGGTGAGTATACACACACACACACACATACACACACACACACACACACACACACACACACACACACACACACACACACACACACACACACACACACACACACACACACACACACACACACTCACACTCACACTCTCACTCTCTCACACACTCACATATACAAACACACACACACACACACACACACACACACACACACACACACACACACACACACACACACACACACACACACACACACACACATATACATACACACACACACACACACACACACACACACACACACACACACACACACACACACACACACACACACACACACACACACACACACACTCACTCACACACACGCACCACGAGGTAGGAGGCCTCGCGGCTAAGTGGACAGAATTCGTGAGTCGTAGTCCTAAGAACTCAGGTTCGATTTCCGGCCGAGGCAGAAACAAATGGGCAGTTTCTTTCACCCTGATGCATCCGTTCACCTAGCCGTAAATAGGACCTGGGAGTTAAACAGCTGCTACAGGCTGCTTCCTGAGGATGTGTGTGTGGGCGTGTTAGAGAGAAATATATGTAGTGGACATAATAGAGGAAAATTAGATTGGTTAGAAAGGCGAGGTCCAAGAGTTAATAACTCGATTCTGCAGTCGCAAATAGTATGTTGTTGTTAAAGATTCGCTACTTGGAACAAGCAGTTCCAAGTAGCACGGGCTATGGTGAGCCCGTAGTTACTTCGCAAATAGTAAATTCGCACGTTCTGAGTATAACAGTGATGCACTGGACACGTCAATTAGTCAGGAAAAGGCTTACACTGGATGGGCGACATCGCAGACAGCCTCATTCTTGGCTGCGGGCGGGAAGGTGAGGGAGGGGGGGGGGTACAAGGACAAGCCTAGCAGGCTTTCTGACCCTGACAACAGCATACCACACCATCACACACACGCACATATATCACATATAAACATACCGCAACACATAATACCACACAAACATACGCTAACGCACAAATACACACAAACAAAGGGTTGACGGACATGTAAAACAAAAACACATACAAGCACACACGTCTATAACAGAAATCAAACAAAAAAGTTGTTAAACGCTTAAGGCCAACCCGCACCAGAGCACAACACTACAACCCAACCCAGAACTACGCCACGCTTACAACATCTAACACCCTAACTGGCCGCAGCAAGACTGTCTCTCAACACTCACACTAACCACTTCTTTGAGACGTAGAGTGTTGCAACATCTAAGACAGTGAAGCAACACTGCAACACCAGAGAGAGAGAGACTGGTGCCCACTGGGGCATCTCTCACCATCACCACAACACAATGTACCCACCCAGGAGACTGACGCACTCCCTGGGGTTCTTGCACAGTCGCATGGCCTCTGGGGTCTCGGTCAGGCTCAAGCCCTGGGTAGTAGCCAGCAGGTGAGCATGCACAGTGCCCCTCAGCAGGTGACCGTGTAGAGCTCTTCTCAGGTGACTGTGCAGTCGGGCTCCCAGCAGACGAGCAGCAGCAGCAGCAGCCAGGTGGTGGTGCAGGAAGCTGAGAGGCAGGTGAGTGTGCAGCAGGCCCCTCCTGCCCAGGAGGTGGTGGGGCTCGCCACGCAGGCCTCTAGCGAGACGGTGCAACAGGTGTCTCAAACAAGTGTGCAGCAGGTGTCGTCTAGTGTACAACAGTCGTCCAGCGTGCAGCAGTCATCCAGCGTGCAGCAGTCGTCTAGCGTGCAGCAGTCGTCTAGCGTGCAGCAGTCTAGCGTGCAGCAGTCGTCCAGCGTGCAGGAAGTCTCTAGTGGCAGCTTCTCTAGCCAGGAGACATCGACTGAAGCTTCCAGCAGCGTGAGCCAGGTGGAGCAGGTGTCGGTGCAGCAGGTACAGATAAGCAGCGTCAGCGGCCAAACGGTCAAGAGTAAAGTTCGCAGAATCATCAAGAAGGTATGGAAACCACACTCGGACCATGATAATCAAAGGAACATACGGAAATTGTTAAATGAAGCGAGGGAAGAGGTACAGACCTCACACACAACTGGCGTTTGACCCACAGACACAAGACCGTCAGTGTGATCATCTTCTGGAGCGGAAACAGCTGATGAGTCCGCAACTCGTCCTGCTTAATGAGTTATCATGCGCGATAATCTATACTAATCTATCCACTCAGCTATCATTTTGTTAAGATCGTTGCTCATCATTGTTACTATAAAATGTATTACTTTACCAATACAGCCTGGGTTTTCTAGCCCCAAAAAAGGCCCTTAACGTGACTGGGTCCATCGTGGAGGCGAGACACGCCGACATGGTGGTACACAGTTTCTGAAGTTGGCACTCGCTAAAAATGGTGCGCGACCTTGACGCCGCATGGTCCAGCAACCTTGAGGCCGCATGGTCCAGCAACCTTGAGGCCGCATGGTCCAGCAACCTTGAGGCCGCATGGTCCAGCAACCTTGAGGCCGCATGGTCCAGCAACCTTGAGGCCGCATGGTCCAGCAACCTTGAGGCCGCATGGTCCAGCAACCTTGAGGCCGCATGGTCCAGCAACCTTAAGGCCGCATGGTCCAGCAACCTTGAGGCCGCATGGTCCAGCAACCTCGAGGCCGCATGGTCCAGCAACCTTGAGGCCGCATGGTCCAGCAACCTTGAGGCCGCATGGTCCAGCAACCTTGAGGCCGCATGGTCCAGCAACCTTGAGGCCGCATGGTCCAGCAACCTTGAGGCCGCATGGTCCAGCAACCTCGAGGCCGCATGGTCCAGCAACCTCGAGGCCGCATGGGCCATGGCAACCTCGAGGCCGCATGGTCCAGCAACCTCGAGGCCGCATGGTCCAGCAACCTCGAGGCCGCATGGTCCAGCAACCTCGAGGCCGCATGGTCCAGCAACCTCGAGGCCGCATGGGCCGGCAACCTCGAGGCCGCATGGTCCAGCAACCTTGAGGCCGCATGGTCCAGCAACCTCGAGGCCGCATGGTCCAGCAACCTCGAGGCCGCATGGTCCAGCAACCTCGAGGCCGCATGGTCCAGCAACCTCGAGGCCGCATGGTCCAGCAACCTCGAGGCCGCATGGTCCAGCAACCTTGAGCGCAGTGCTGCTGTCGACAGCGCAAACTGTTGCTTTACGTGCCACAAGAACCGCGGCTCCGGAACAGAAATTCAAAAATTTATACAGGTTCAGCAAGAGGGCAAAAATAAATATAATTAATACCTTAAATGCAGTTATAACGGAGTTATATCAGTCTCCGTTATAACTGGATATTACGTTAGGACCAGATCTATATTATTAGTTATAAGTATTTTAGAAATTTAAGGATAAACTAATGTAGTACTAGATTTACACCTCTTGCTTACGAGACGCCATTGTTCTAATTTTCAAAGGATTAGTTACTTAAGTAAACTTTTGATACTCAGGGAACTTTAAACTTTTACAAAGATTTTTACCCCGGGTCCTAATGCGAATTATTTCTTTTTTACACACAGAGTGCTAAATAAAATCGATCTTAATCACTCCTCCACACAAAATTTAAACAGCCTACGTTACTTTTTTTAAAATATCCAAAAGCCTTTAAATTATACCTGCAAAAAGTAAACTGAAGTATAAATTACCTTCATTGCCAATTTGATACACGTTGAGAACATAAACCAATTATTCAATAAAACGGAATTTGATCCAACGAATCAGTTTCCCAATTACCAAAGACAATCAGACTCGTTCTCTTGCTGACGTTAATCATAATAAAATAACAGTGTAGTAAAATAAACCAGATTTATTGATCCAGTACATTTTTTTTTTTTTATAAATGCCTAAAGTCATTTTTGCTTGTATTTAAGATTTTGCCCTGTGATTTATGTGCGTGTTTAACTAGTGATGTGTTTGTGTTGTATCAGTGGTGGAGTGTATGTTTTTAATCAGTGGTGGAGTGTATGTTTTTTACCAGTGGTGGAGTGAGTATGTGTTTTTTAATAGTGAAGCGTGTGTGTTTGTTTAACAGTGGTGGAATGTTTGTGAGTGTTTTAACAGTTGTGGAGTTTGCATATATGTATTACCAGTGGTGGAGTACGTATTATCAATGTTGCGTGAATGGTTGTGAAGTCGTATGTGTGTTGTCATCTAGCTGTGTGAGTGTATGTTTTGTTTCTAGTGGTGGTATGTCAGTGTGTACACTGTTACTAGTGGAGGTCTGTTTTCGTTCATGCTTGTGTGTGTTTCACCAGTGAGGATGTGTATTTTGTTATCAGCAGTGATGATTTTTACTCTTGGCAGTTTGAGTGGATTACCAGTGGTAATCGTGTGCACTGATACCTAGTGGTAATGTGTGCGTGTTCCCTATTGTGGGTTTTATTTTGGGAATGATGTTTTTTCAGTGATGTTTGTTTTGTCAAAGGAGGTGTGTGTGATAAACCTGCTCTACCAGTTTATATGCATTTTGGTGATGGTGCAGACCTGTGTTTTCCGTTTAATCCCATCGCTGCCACCATTGCGTCCAGTGGCTCTTAATAGTCTTAACCCGTCTTAACCCGTAACCCGTCTCCCACCCCTTCCCTTCCCGTTCAAACAAATTCCAGTTCTCACGAATATAAATATATAATTCAGAATACTGTATATAAATAATCAAATCACTCCACTCTGTTATTTACAAATTATATATGTACTTTCGTTGTATCTGCGTTTTCTGTTGTCTCCAGCCTGCATGCTGTAATATTCAGTAATTCCATAAGCTCGTATATATATAAATTCTGTCATGATATTCATGTGTTGGGTGTGGTGCTGGTCGGTGTTTCGTGTCGAGTTATCGTGTTTCATGCCATGTTCACACTGTTCACCTAATGTTCACCTAAATATCACACCTAGTATGATGTTTAATGCTATGTTTATGACCGTAGTGGTTTATTTGCGTTGAGTGCGTGTGTGACGCAAAACATGCGAGAGAACAACATGCTTGATGCAATCTTTGTCATCCCCAGGGAGAGACGACACCAGGAGCTCGTGTTGGGCAGGACGGTCGACCAGTCGCACAAGGTATACCAGTCTTAACTAGCACTTCTCTCCGGACTATAGAACCTCATTTTACCTCATGAGTATACTACCCTATAAATTACTCCTTTCCTTGTTTTATACTATTACTGCACATCCCCTGGATAAACAACACTTCACTCTGTATGCACTGACCACTCTACCCTTCCCTCACACACTGACCACTCTACCCTTCCCTCACACACTGACCACTCTACCCTTCCCTCACAAACTGACTACTCTACCCTTCCCTCACACACTGAACACTCTACCCTTCCCTCACACACTGACCACTCTACCCTTCCCTCACACACTGACCACTCTACCCTTCCCTCACACACTGACCACTCTACCCTTCCCTCACACACTGAACACTCTACCCTTCCCTCACACACTGACCACTCTACCCTTCCCTCACACACTGACCACTCTACCCTTCCCTCACACACTGACCACTCTACCCTTCCCTCACACACTGAACACTCTACCCTTCCCTCACACACTGACCACTCTACCCCTCCCTCACACACTGACCACTCTACCCTTCCCTCACACACTGACCACTCTACCCCTCCCTCACACACTGACCACTCTACCCTTCCCTCACACACTGACCACTCTACCCTTCCCTCACACACTGACCACTCTACCCTTCCCTCACACACTGAACACTCTACCCTTCCCTCACACACTGACCACTCTACCCTTCCCTCACACACTGACCACTCTACCCTTCCCTCACACACTGAACACTCTACCCTTCCCTCACACACTGACCACTCTACCCTTCCCTCACACACTGACCACTCTACCCTTCCCTCGCACACTTTCCGACCTTTTGATAACATCTTCCAAGACGGAATTCTAATCTATTTTCTTTGAACTTTTTTAACTAAGATAGTAAAATTTCCTTAGATTTTTTTAGAGTTAAGCTGAATTGCCTTGTCATTAAGAGTACATATTTAGCAAGTCATAGATTTAAAAAAAAAGTAATATCCAATATATAGTATAATGCCTAGTACAACAAGTTAGTTGCATATTAGAGTGAAATACATATTTGTATATATATTTTTAATGCTATATTGATTTGGGACAATAATTTAGCAATATGACTTTTAGCGTCTAGATTTTTACAGTGAATTGTTTCGAATGGTGAATGTTATGGTAAGTGTGACGACGGAGCGGTGTGCTGATGGTTGACTCTCAGGCGCACTCGCTCTCTCTGTCTCTTCTTTAGTCTGTGTCGCAGGCTGTGTCCTGGTGAGAGTTTCCCAGTCTCTGTGTCGTAGTCTGTGTACTGGTGAGAGTTCCCCCTGCCTCTGTGTCGTAGTCTGTGTCCTGGTGAGAGTTCCCCCTGCCTCTGTGTCGTAGTCTGTGTCCTGGTGAGAGTTTCTCAGCCTCTGTGTCGTAGTCTGTGTACTGGTGAGAGTTCCCCTGCCTCTGTGTCGTAGTCTGTGTCCTGGCGAGAGTTTCCCAGCCTCTGTGTCGTAGTCTGTGTCCTGGTGAGAGTTTCCCAGCCTCTGTGTCGTAGTCTGTGTACTGGTGAGAGTTCCCCTGCCTCTGTGTCGTAGTCTGTGTACTGGTGAGAGTTCCCCTGCCTCTGTGTCGTAGTCTGTGTACTGGTGAGAGTTCCCCTGCCTCTGTGTCGTAGTCTACTAATCTTCCCTTCCCCCACCCCAAACCCCACCACAGGGTGGGCGGTTGGGGTGAGTTGCTCCTCTCCCCTCATCCCACGGACACCTCCCCTCTAGTGGTTCATCACATTCCTTGACTTACTCATCAATCACCTAATCCAAATTATCTATACTTTGCTGAGATTTAATTTTGAGATTTTGCTGAGATTATAATTTTAATAATAATAATAATACTTTATTTATTCCTAATTTTCTTTATGACCAGTTTATAATTTCAGGTTTTTTTCTATTTATTTTGTTATTTTTTCAATTTAAAGTTCATTTAATTTTAATTTGTTTATGTAACATCTTTCGATGAGCCACAGAGACGAATCAGCACTAGTGAGAAGTCACTTCCATCTTCAACACAAGATGTGTGACTTGTTCAAGACTGTGAATACAATAGCCACCTTTATTTATATACACTTTGAAATGTAGTCTTTATTACTTGGTGTTCTATCATCAGAGCTGTGTGTGGGTGTCATGATCTTCATCACAGTCTCTCTGTCATGATCTTCATCACAGTCTCTCTCTGTCATGATCTTCATCACAGTCTCTCTGTCACGATCTTCATCACAGTCTCTCTGTCATGATCTTCATCACAGTCTCTCTGTCATGATCTTCATCACAGTCTCTCTGTCATGATCTTCATCACAGTCTCTCTGTCATGATCTTCATCACAGTCTCTCTGTCATGATCTTCATCACAGTCTCTCTCTCTCTCTGTCATGATCTTCATCACAGTCTCTCTGTCATGATCTTCATCACAGTCTCTCTGTCATGATCTTCATCACAGTCTCTCTGTCATGATCTTCATCACAGTCTCTCTGTCATGATCTTCATCACAGTCTCTCTGTCATGATCTTCATCACAGTCTCTCTGTCATGATCTTCATCACAGTCTCTCTCTCTCTCTGTCATGATCTTCATCACAGTCTCTCTGTCATGATCTTCATCACAGTCTCTCTGTCATGATCTTCATCACAGTCTCTCTGTCATGATCTTCATCACAGTCTCTCTGTCATGATCTTCATCACAGTCTCTCTGTCATGATCTTCATCACAGTCTCTCTCTGTCATGATCTTCATCACAGTCTCTCTCTGTCATGATCTTCATCACAGTCTCTCTCTGTCATGATCTTCATCACAGTCTCTCTCTCTGTCATGATCTTCATCACAGTCTCTCTCTGTCATGATCTTCATCACAGTCTCTCTCTGTCATGATCTTCATCACAGTCTCTCTCTCTGTCATGATCTTCATCACAGTCTCTCTCTGTCATGATCTTCATCACAGTCTCTCTCTCTCTGTCATGATCTTCATCACAGTCTCTCTCTCTCTCTGTCATGATCTTCATCACAGTCTCTCTCTGTCATGATCTTCATCACAGTCTCTCTCTCTCTGTCATGATCTTCATCACAGTCTCTCTCTGTCATGATCTTCATCACAGTCTCTCTGTCATGATCTTCATCACAGTCTCTCTCTGTCATGATCTTCATCACAGTCTCTCTCTGTCATGATCTTCATCACAGCCTCTCTCTGTCATGATCTTCATCACAGCCTCTCTCTGTCATGATCTTCATCACAGCCTCTCTCTGTCATGATCTTCATCACAGTCTCTCTGTCATGATCTTCATCACAGCCTCTCTCTGTCATGATCTTCATCACAGCCTCTCTCTGTCATGATCTTCATCACAGTCTCTCTCTCTCTGTCATGATCTTCATCACAGTCTCTCTCTCTCTGTCATGATCTTCATCACAGTCTCTCTCTCTCTGTCATGATCTTCATCACAGTCTCTCTCTGTCATGATCTTCATCACAGTCTCTCTCTCTCTGTCATGATCTTCATCACAGCCTCTCTGTCATGATCTTCATCACAGTCTCTCTCTGTCATGATCTTCATCACAGTCTCTCTCTCTCTGTCATGATCTTCATCACAGTCTCTCTGTCATGATCTTCATCACAGTCTCTCTCTGTCATGATCTTCATCACAGTCTCTCTCTCTGTCATGATCTTCATCACAGTCTCTCTGTCATGATCTTCATCACAGTCTCTCTCTCTGTCATGATCTTCATCACATCTCTCTCTCATGACCTTTATCACAGCTCTATATATTTCTCTCCTCTGTGTCCTGACCACCAACTCCAGAATGGTAATTTCGAAATACATAATTTTCCCCGTTTAACGATCAGCCAATCTACGCCCCCTACACCACCAAGGTTGGTGTTACCTTGTGGTTGTCAACACGGTCAATGAGTTAACTGGTCAAACCTAAATCACACTACGTTATTAAGGGAACGATAGATATATAAATAAACCCACAGGTGACAAGTAAAACAAACACAAATTTTGCAAACTAAATAAGTGGCTTTGTTGTCTCTGTGGGTCTGGAAAGTTATTTATTTTATTTATGTTATACTAATGCACGTTCATCTGTGGTTCTTTACCTCTCTTCTGCAGAACCTCCGCTCGGGGGCCCCCACGACCTGTCCTATACTGGTGTTCACCCGGGTGATCTCCTTTACCTGGACCTGCCTCCCAATCAGTTTATACCGTCTGATCTGCCTGCCAATCAGTTAATTCAGTCTGACCTCCCTGCCAATCAGTTTATCCAGTCTGACCTGCCTCCCGATCAGTTTATCCAGTCTGACCTACCCGCGAATCATCTCATTCCGGCTGACCTTCCTGCTAATCACCTCCTCCAGTCTGACTTACCCCTTACTGACCTGCTCTCTGGCGCTGACCTAACCTTGCCCAGTGCTGAGGTCAACATTCCTCCAGAAATGCCCGCTGATGCTGCCGACCCCCAAGCTAACATTCCCCCAGAAATCCTGGCCGAGATGGCAGCTTATCACTCTGCCCTGTCGGCCGAGCAGACTGCTGTGTCCATCCAGCAGTCTAGCATGTCCTCTGAGCACTCTGCTGTGTCCTCCTTCCAACAGTCATCGGTGTCCGTTGTCGAGCAGGAAGTCCATATGTCCTCTGGGTATTCGTCTTCTTCCGTGTCTGAGTCTGTGGGCCAGTCCCAGTTCTCGAGCTCACAGCCCTTGGCCGATGCCCAATTCGGGTTGGGGTCCCAGCGGGCACCTGAGGCCCTCTGTGAGCAGGGAGATGCCCTCAACCAGGCACTCCAAGGTGAGGGTCTTCCCGCAGGTGAAGCAGCAATTTTTCCTCCAGGTGCTGACGAAGAAGAGGAAGAGGACGAAGAAGAGGAGGAGGAGGAGGAGGAGGAAGAGGAGGAGGAAGAGATGTAAACGAAGAACGAGAAAAGACTTCCAGAGTTGTAGACGACGAAGCCAGCCATTGCCACCCACCAGATGGAGGATACACCAGCTTCAACTCCCCTACCCCCCCCCCCCCCAACCAGATGGAGGTCACACCAGACAAACCTGTTACATCGTTCAAAGGGCAATACCGCTCACTTGGACACCCTCAGCAACTGGCTTTCTTTCAACTGGTGTATTTTGATGTTAAAAAAAAAAATGTAAATTGGTGTGTGTATTGCGCACAGTTGTGTGTCTCCTCCAGCAGCAGTAGTATCTCTATGCTTCACAGTCCGCGCTCTGTACTTCTTCTCCGACTGTGGTATCTCCACAAGCGGTACCAAGCCCTTGATTCTCCACGAGATAAAGATAGGACTCGTCTCCATTTGCCACCAGGCTGTTATAGATGGGTCGGAGAACAGTAGATCGATCAACTTGTTGCATGTAGATTAGACAGTAATAAAAAAATATGCACTGAATCAAAACAGCCAACAAAGCTCTTCCCTAAAAACATCAAAGTTCACAAACGCAATCCCGACCTCTAAGGATGGATTCTCCTTGTATTTCCGAATCGAATTCTCATTTTCTTCCGAGTCGTGTAAGAGTTAAGAGACTATCACGCTTGTATCTCTCGTCAAGAGCGCTCCCTCATCCACGGGTGATAGGGGGATATCCCTTATCTCCAGGAGAGGAATGCCTGATCTACGGGTGAGAGATATTTCTGATCTACGGATAAGAGAGATCCCTGATCCACGGATGAGAGGGCCGAGATGATGTCGAACGAACGAACGACGGCGCGAGAGGGCGGGGGGTGGATGAGGCGCGGACGGTCCCAGTGCTGGACCACTGCTGAGCTGCGGCCCTCCGCCCCACCCACCACCCACCTCCAGCTGCTGCCATGTAAGGGCCGCCCTGCCCACCACCACTTGCAATTGTCTCGAGACACGCGTTTTATCACACTTTTAGTTTATAGAGACGGTATATAGCCAAGAATACTTGTTTCATGTCATACTCTGGTGAGTATTTCTCTCGGTCTTGAACGAACATGGCACAGGGATAAGAGATCTTAGGAGATACGATGTGTGATCAATTGTTGATATTCATGATTAAACTCGCATTCGGAAAAGAATATATATATACTTTGTTTCAAAATGCATGTTAGGTAAAGTTTTCACCTCTAAGGATTACATTCACACTCTTCCGAGGTCATAGCCGAAGCGCTACCTGCAGTAGCCCGTAGCCACAGCCAACCTCGCCTTAAAACTGCAATAAGTGACGGAGAGACAATAAGCGTCTAAACAGAAAGGGTTTCCACTGTCAAACAGTTGTATATAATTTGCAGAACGATCATCCTCGATAACTTTCGGGTTATGAGCACAGATCTTGGCGGATACTTACAATTGGATTAGCGTAGCAAAGGAACAGTGGAGGAGTAACTTCTGCTCTTAGTGATGCATCCGCGAGGACCACAAATCTCTGGCTCCTCATCAATAAGGAACAAAAGGCTCCAACTCCTCATCACTAAGACGTTAGTTTCTCTTTTGCCACTGACAATATTTCCACATCATTTTCTTTACTCTTAGGAGAGAGCAGAGAGAAACGGAACTCAATTTTAGTTCCGAGATGAATAGCGGGATCACCTGGTAATGTCTTGAGTTAACGAGACGTCTTGAGTCTCTCCCACGACTCTACAGGCACTACACGAGTCCACGCTAACATTTAACTCACTCTCTCTATATTTATTGTTTCTTCTGAAGAGTTTTGAAAAGTACACGGTGTGTGCCTTCACCGTTGCCAAATGTAAGGCACTTAGGATTTAACTAACAGGTCCAAAGATGAATTATAGTTATCCTTGACCCTGGTTGTATAGCGCTAAGGAGAAGGTTCTTCTGCTCGGGCTTAACGAGGGGACAAGCGTTACTATAGAGCAGGAGAACCTTCCTAATCGTGTTCAATCCTCCTATTTTTAACACTCCAGTGTTATTTTTGCCTTGTACAAGAACCTCCCCCCCCCGATAATGTTTCTGATTTTTTCCCCGTATAAGTGCTTGTAAGTGTTTATGGATCTTGTACGAAGCACTTCACTTCCGTGATGTCCTCTCCTCCTCCTCCTGTGAGCACATGTTCGCATCACTGCCGACTGGACATGATCAGTCAGTGACATTTCCCAGACGGGCTCAGAACACAGCCGACCACAGTGCCAAGGCTGGTGGAAGGCCCCCCCCCCCAGGACAGGAGGTCTACCTCCTCCCCCCCCCCCACATCGTCAGCTACAGTGCCGGAGGTCGGGCCATCACTGGTTCTGTCATTATGATCATTCGTGTCATTATTAGTAATGTAGTTATTATCGAGGTCAACTGGTTACTCGAACTTTCACTCTGATAAGCCTAGTCTGTTATGTGGTTGTGGTTGTGTTAGACTAGAGTTGTGAAGCAGAGGGACGACCGTTAGCCACACACACAACGCTTTCTATCATCAATCTCACATTCTGCATTTGTTTTAATTAAATATTAAATGTTTTATCACTCTCTTCAGTTTATTATCACCTTTCTAAGAGATCGACCACTACTGATAAAAATGATAATATAAGAAAATTGTCTCATGTAGAACAAGGTAAGGTAATTATCAGGAGAAAGTACTGTCACTACAACTATTATAGTACTTGGAAGGGATCAGGATAACGATTTGGAATGAGACTATTTCAATTCTTCCTTTATTATGTACCCCATACCCATCCCGGGCAGTGGTGGGGTTACAGAGGCACATAATGGGTTCAGGGACTAAACCCTATAGTTCGTTCAGCTAAGCAAGTGACAATCTTTTGAAACTAGTTAAACAATTGTTAATGTTACACACACACATACACACACATGCACACACACACACACACACACACACACACACACACACACACACACACACACACACACACACACACACACACACACACACACACACACACATATATATATATATATATATATATATATATATATATATATATATATATATATATATATATATAATATATATATATATTAGATATGACCGAAAAAGTAAGATTAATAATTCTAACACGAATTTTCTCAATCTTTCGTACATTTCTTTTTACTGTTGGTGGTAATTCAAAAATCAATTCTCCAAAATTCATTTTTATTTCTAGTCTGACGCGACACTTGAGCGCGTTTCGTAAAACTTATTAAATTTTCAAAGACTTTAGTTTAAACATACACAACTGAATAGAACTTACACATCTCCGATTTGTTTATATCTACATTTGAGTGAGGTGGATGGGGTGAGGTGGTATTTAATAAGGTATTAATTTCATCAACACAAGACAGAACACGAAACAATGGGTATTGAATAGAAGTGATTGTAGAAAGCCTATTGGTCCATATTTCTTGATGCTTCTATAGCCTCGTTGGACGTAGAATCGCTGTTCACCAACGTACCAGTGGACGAGACAATCGGGATGATAGCTGACAGAGTGTATCGTGATCCAGCCTGTACTCCTCTTGACATACCAGAAAATATCCTAAGGAAACTACTCCAAGCTTGTACTAAAGAGGCACCCTTCTTGAGCCCGGATGGGCACATGTATAAGCAAGTAGATGGGGTCGCCATGGGTTCTCCCCTAGGTGTCCTGTTTGCAAACTTCTACATGGGTACCATCGAGCAAAAAGTCTTAGTCGACATGAACTTGAAACCGGCCATATACTGCAGGTATGTTGACGACATTTTTACACAGCTACCTGATGTCAGACATCTGCAGGAGCTGAAGGAGGCGTTTGAGCAGAGTTCCGTGCTGCGTTTCACTTACGAGATGGAAAAGGATGGGAAGCTGCCCTTTCTAGATGTAACAGTCATGGAAAAGAGCGGAGGTTTCCACACAGCAGTCTACACTAAGGAAACGAACATAGGAATGTGCCTAAATGCCAACAGCGACTGCCCAGACAGGTACAAAAGGAGTGTTGTTAACGCATATGTCGACCGTGCTCTCAGCCACAGCTCAGAATGGAAGCAAGTCGACGAAGAACTCTGTAGGGTAAGGCAGGTCCTAGTCAACAACGGCTTCTCCAATGGTTTCGTCGAAGACATCATAAGAAGGAAAGTGAAACGCCATGCAACCTCTGAAGAGACAACTAACACAACACCTATACCCCCTATTAGACTATTTTACAGGAACTTCTTTTCCACAGCTCATAAAATGGAGGAAAGGGTCCTGAAAGATATTGTTAATAGAAACGTTATCCCTACAGACAAAAATCAGAGGATACAACTGACGATTTACTATAAAACCAGAAAAACGGCCAGCCTACTCATGAGAAACTCTCCAGACACAAAACAGAACGCTTTAAAAGAGACCAACGTCGTCTATGCCTTCAAATGCCCTCTTGGGGACTGTAAGCTCAAAAAACCCAGTATATAGGCAAGACAACAACATCTCTTTCTAGGCGTTTAACGATGCATAAGCAACAGGGCTCCATTAAGGAACATATAATCTCTTCCCACAACCAAACCATCCCCAGAGAAATCCTAGTAAACAACACAGAAATCATCGATAGATACAGCGATAGCAGGCGGCATGACGTTTGCGAGGCACTACACATTAAAAAGTCAACACCAGCAATCAACAGCCAATTAATGCACAACTATATTCTACCCACCTCAAGACTCCACTCCAATATAGAAGCATCAAGAAATATGGACCAATAGGCTTTCTATAATCACTTCCATTCAATACCCATTGTTTCGTGTTCTGTCTTGTGTTGATGAAATTAATACCCTATTAATGCCACCTCACCCCATCCACCTCAATCAAATGTAGATATAAACAAATTGGAGATGTGTAAGTTCTATTCAGTTGTGTATGTGTAAACTAAAGTCTTTGAAAATGTAATAAGTTTTACGAAACGCGCTCAAGTGTCGCGTCAGACTAGAAATAAAAATGAATTTTGGAGAATTGATTTTTTAATTACCACCAACAGTGAAAAGAAATGTACGAAAGATAGAGAAAATTCGTGTTAGAATTATTAATCTTACTTTTTCGGTCATATTTAATAATATATGTCTACAGGAAAGACTGCTACCAAAATATACTAATATTAAAACGCACGACCCAGCAGCAAGGAATCAAGCAATATATATATATATATATATATATATATATATATATATATATATATATATATATATATATATATATATATATATATATTGGTGTATACTGGCAGCAGGTTTTCTTTCAAACATGTTTCATTGAATATGACCGCATATTCTGTATTTATTATTTTCTGGTTTAGGGCTTCTATCCCTCTAACTATTTTCTTAGCATCAGGGCTTAATTGAAATAGGAGTTCTCCAAAACTCATTTTCGTACTTTTAAGGTGAAGAAAAGAAGTGATTTACTATAGAGTGTACAATGACAATGTCAAACATAACAGGCCAATTACACTGGATTAATCTTTGTGTTTAGATAGGAGATGCCTCGTATGGGCCAATAAGCCTTCTGCAGCCCCTATGTTTATCCCTTATGTATCCCCCCATGTTTTCACCTTCATTGTATTATCACCTGACCTAATGCGGGTATAAAATCAACTAGTATTGTAAGATCTGTTCACTTGAGAATGAACCATGGAGGTTCGAAACGTCGTGCAAATTATACAAATAAGTGTAATACACTCTATAGTAAATCACTTCTTTTCTTCACCTTAAAGTACGAAAATGAGTTTTGGAGAACTCCTATTTCAATTAAGCCCTGATGCTAAGAAAATAGTTAGAGGGATAGAAGCCCTAAACCAGAAAATAATAAATACAGAATATGCGGTCATATTCAATGAAATATATATATATATATATATATATATATATATATATATATATATATATATATATATATATATATATATATATATATATATATATATGTATATTTTGGTAGCAGTCTTTCCTGTAGACATATTATTAAATATGACCGAAAAAGTAAGATTAATAATTCTAACACGAATTTGCTCGATCTTTCTTACGTTTCTTTTCACTGTTGATAGTAATTCAAAAATCAATTCTCCAAAATTCATTTTTATTTCTAGTCTGACGCGACACTTGAGCGCGTTTCGTAAAACTTATTACGTTTTCAAAGACTTTAGTTTACACACACACACACACAACTTTAACTGAATAGAGCTTAAACATCTTCGAGTTTTTATACCTACATTTGGGTGAGGTGACATGTTACAATAGTTTTGGATGAGGTGAAAATAAACTTTTAACACAAGACAGGACACGAAACAATGGGTATTAAAAGTAGGTAACTGCAGAAGGCCTATTTTTATTGGCCCATATTTCTTGACCCTGGTTGTATAGCGCTAAGGAGAAGGTTCTTCTGCTCGGGCTTAACGAGGGGACAAGCGTTACTATAGAGCAGGAGAACCTTCCTAATCGTGTTCAATCCTCCTATTTTTAACACTCCAGTGTTATTTTTGCCTTGTACAAGAACCTCCCCCCCCCCCACCGATAATGTTTCTGATTTTTTCCCCGTATAAGTGCTTGTAAGTGTTTATGGATCTTGTACGAAGCACTTCACTTCCGTGATGTCCTCTCCTCCTCCTCCTGTGAGCACATGTTCGCATCACTGCCGACTGGACATGATCAGTCAGTGACATTTCCCAGACGGGCTCAGAACACAGCCGACCACAGTGCCAAGGCTGGTGGAAGCCCCCCCCCCCAGGACAGGAGGTCTACCTCCTCCCCCCCCCCCCCACACATCGTCAGCTACAGTGCCGGAGGTCGGGCCATCACTGGTTCTGTCATTATGATCATTCGTGTCATTATTAGTAATGTAGTTATTATCGAGGTCAACTGGTTACTCGAACTTTCACTCTGATAAGCCTAGTCTGTTATGTGGTTGTGGTTGTGTTAGACTAGAGTTGTGAAGCAGAGGGACGACCGTTAGCCACACACACAACGCTTTCTATCATCAATCTCACATTCTGCATTTGTTTTAATTAAATATTAAATGTTTTATCACTCTCTTCAGTTTATTATCACCTTTCTAAGAGATCGACCACTACTGATAAAAATGATAATATAAGAAAATTGTCTCATGTAGAACAAGGTAAGGTAATTATCAGGAGAAAGTACTGTCACTACAACTATTATAGTACTTGGAAGGGATCAGGATAACGATTTGGAATGAGACTATTTCAATTCTTCCTTTATTATGTACCCCATACCCATCCCGGGCAGTGGTGGGGTTACAGAGGCACATAATGGGTTCAGGGACTAAACCCTATAGTTCGTTCAGCTAAGCAAGTGACAATCTTTTGAAACTAGTTAAACAATTGTTAATGTTACACACACACACACACACGCACACACACACACACACACACACACACACACACACACACACACACACACACACACACACACACACACACACACACACACACACACACACACACATATATATATATGTCGTACCTAGTAGCAGGAACGCACTTCTCAGCCTACTATGCAAGGCCCGATT